TTTCTGAAAAGCTGAATTCTGTCTTAAAGTTTCTTCTTAGTAGTTTGTTGCCCAGCTAGTAATATTTTACTGACAATGGTATCAGTTCTCTAAAACATATCATTTCAGGTCAATTTACTTCATAAAGCCTAGAAAGAATCATTGGTAAATCCCTTTTATGTGCACAAAGATAAAGAAAAACATAGAGCAAGAAGAAAGATAAAGACACAAATGAAAAATCAAGAAACATGAAAGATAAATTGAGAGGCTTCTATATTTGTCTAACAGGAATGTGAAAAGAGAATGCAGGATGGAGGGAATGACTGAGAGGTCTTAATTTCAAGATACAATTGCTGAGAATTTCACACAATTAATAAAAGATACAAGTTCACACACAGAAGTTCTTAACAGTATAAATAAACGTACTCCAAAATAAATCACAGTAAAACTCAGGAATGCAAAAGACTAAGCAAACATAACAAACTAAAAACAACGATAACCTTAAAGCTCCTAGAAAGAAAACATATTTGACCTAAAAGAAATAACAATTATATTGAGAGAAATAGAGTAACAGAATGGAAACTTAAAACAAATGACTATTACCTCCAAAATAAAGAAACTGTCAACCATGAAGTTTATGTTCAAAATGATTATTTACATGAAAAAGAAACAGTATTTTAGCTGAACAAAAATGAAGAAGATTTATAACCATGTGAACCCTAAAAGATGGACTGCAAAGCCGGGCGCGGTGGCTCAAGCCTGTAATACCAGCACTTTGGGAGGCTGAGGCGGGTGGATCACGAGGTCCGGAAATCGAGACCATCCTGGTCAACACGGTGAAACCCCGTCTCTACTAAAAATACAAAAAATTAGCTGGGCATAGTGGCTCGTGCCTGTAATCCCACCTACTCAGGAGGCTTAGGCAGGAGAATTGCCTGAACCCAGGAGGTGGAGGTTGCGGTGAGCCGAGATTGCGCCATTGCACTCCAGCCTGGGTAATAAGAGCGAAACTCCGTCTCAAAAAAAAAGATGGACTGCAAGAAGCAATGGTAAGAAAACATTTGTAACTATATTGGTAATATAATAATATTTGCTTAAGAAAAGCCAAAGAACTATAATGACAAATTTTGAGGGTGGTTATAATAAAAAGTAGACCTATAACAACCTAGTATATATTAAAAAAAAAAAAAGATATATATATTTTTTGAGAGTTTTCATTCTTGTTGACTAGGCTGGAGTACAATGGTGCAATCTCAGCTCAATGCAACCTCCACCTCCCACATTCAAGTGATTCTCCTGCCTCAGCCTCCCGAGTAGTCTGGATTACAGCTGTGCGTGACCATGCCCAGCTAATTTTTGTATTTTTAGTAGATACAGGGTTTCACCAGTCTGGCCAGGCTGCTCTCGAAGTCTTGACCTCAGGTGATCCACCCGTCTCAGCCTCCCAAAGTGCTGGGATGACAGGTGTGAGCCATTACACCTGGCCCCATCTTCTTTTAAATCTTTTTTAGTCTCATTATTCTTCAGAATAAGAACACAGGCTGATTAGATTTAGTATTTGTCAAGAGAATATTTTGTAAAGTTAAAAAATATGAGAAAAAATTTTGCAAGTTACCCATCTGACACAGGGCTAATATCCAGAATCTACAAGTAACTTAAATTTACAAGAAAAAAAACAACTCCATCAAAAAGTGGGCAAAGGATATAAACAGACACTTTTCAAAAGACATTTATGCAGCCAAAAAACATATGAAAAAATATGCTCATCATCACTGTTCATTAGAGAAATGCAAATCAAAACCACATGAGATACCATATCATGCCAGCTAGAATGGCAATCATTAAAAAAATCTGGAGACAACAGATGCTGGAGAGGATGTGGAGAAACAGAAATGCTTTTACACTGTTAGTGGGAGTGTAAATTAGTTCAACCATTGTAGAAGACAGTATGGCGATTCCTCAAGGATGTAGAAATAGAAATACCATTTGACCTAGCAATCCCATTACTGGGTCAAATGGTATATACCCAAAGGATTATAAATCATTCTGTTATAAAGACACATGCACAGGTATGTTCACTGTGGCATTGTTTATAATAGCAAAGACTTGGAACCAGTCCAAATGCCCATCAATGAAAGACTGGATAAAGAAAATATGACAAATATACAGCATGGAATACTATGCAGCCATAAAAAAGGGTAAGTTTATGTCCTTTGCAGGGACATAGACGAATCTGGAAACCATCATTCTCAGCAAACTGACACAAGAACAGAAAACCAAACACCTCATGTTCTCTCACTCATAAGTGGGTGTTGAACAATGAGAACACATGGATACAGGGAGGGAAACATCACACACTGGGGCTTGTTGGGGGGATGAGGGGACTAAGGGAGGGATATCAGGAGTAGGGGTATTGGAGAGTGATAACAGGAGAAATACCTAATGTAGGTAATGGGGGGATGGAGGCAGCAAACCACCATGGCATGTGAATACCTATGTAACAATCCTGAATGATCTGCACATGTACCTCAGAACTTATAGTAATAAAAAAAAGACACAAAACCATATAAACTCCAGACCAGTTAAGCACAAATAAAAGGAAATAAACTGAACAAAACTTTAAAGACAAGAAAGGAGAACAAAATATACACACAGAACAAGCAAATTATCCCAGACTGCACTAAAAATATACGTGTGTGTGTGTGTGTGTGTATTCCAACGAACACATAGTGACAAAAAGGTTTGAAAGAAAACGAACAAAAAAAGATATACTGTACTGAGCAAATGGCAAAATAAAGCTTCAGTTTCAGAGGTCATGGTAGAATATTTTTAAAAACTGACCTGATGTCTGCTATATGTTTTAAAACAACAGTCAGCAGCCTTTTTGGCACCAGCAACCGGTTTCGTGGAAGACAATTTTTCCATGCATGGGGGCAAGGGAGATGGTTTGGGAATGAAACAGTTCCACCTCAGATTACAAGCCATTAGTTACATTTTCACAAGGAGCACACAACCTAGATCCCTTGCATGTGCAGCCCCTCCTATGAGAATCTAATGCCCTTGCTGATCTGACAGGAGGAGAGCTCAGGTGGTACCACTCCAATCACCTCCTTCTGTGCTGCCAGGTTACTAAAAAGCCACAGACTTGTACCATATCTGCTTCCCAGGGGTTGGAGACCCCTGCTTTAAAGGCACTCTAGTTTAAAATACAAAAGGCCATTCGAGGTGGCCCACGCCTGTAATCCAAGCACTTTCGGAGGCCAAGGTGGGCAGATCACAAGGTCAGGAGTTCGAGACCAGCCTGGCCAACATGGCGAAACCCCATCTCTACTAAAACACAAAAAATTAGCTGAGTATGGTGGTGCATGCCTGTAATCCTAGCTACTCAGGAGGCTGAGAGAGGAGAATTGCTTGAACTCAGGAGGTGGAGGTTGCAGTGAGCCAAGATCACACCACTGCACTCCAGCCTGGGCAACAGAGTGAGACTCAGTCTCAAAAAGTAATAATAATAAAATAAAAAAAGGTGGGGTGGGAGAAAGAGATCATCTGGAGCAAATGTTGAATCTAAGTGTTGGTTACATGGGATTCACTGCACCACCCTTTTTTTTTTTTTTTGAAACGGAGTTTCACTCTTGTTACCCAGGCTGGAGTGCAATGGCACGATCTCGGCTCACTGCAACCTCCACCTCCTGAGTTCAGGTAATTCTCCTGTCTCAGTCTCCTGAGTAGCTGGGATTACAGGCATGTGCCACCATGCCCAGCTAATGTTTTGTATTTTTAGTAGAGACAGGGTTTCACCATGTTGACCAGGATGGTCTCAATCTCTTGATCTCGTGATCCACCCGCCTTGGCCTCCCAAAGTGCTGGGATTACAGGCTTGAGCCACCGCGCCCGGCCTGCACCACCCTTTAGATAGTTGAACATACTTGAAATTTTTCGTAATATATTAAGAAAAAAACTACACAGAATACCAAACCTATTTTGAGAAACATCCATAGCAAATACTAAAGAGAAATACATTAACGTGTTAGCACTTTTATTATAAGTAATTTTTTGTTATCTGAATATAACATCACTGTCCAATAGAAATATACTGAGTCACAGACATAATTTTAAATTTTCCAGCAGTGACATATAAAAAAGGCAAAAAACAAAAATACGTGAAATGAATTTTAACAATATAAGCCAGTATATCCAAAATATTATCATTTTGACATACAATGCAAAAAATTATCGAGCCATCTTATATTTTTTGAACAAAGTCTTTGAAACCCACTGTGTATTTAACACTTACAGCACATCTCAATTTAGACTAGCCACATCTCAAGTGCTCCTAAGGTACACGTGGCTTATAGCTACTGGTTTGGATAGTGCGCCTCTATACTAAGCATTCATTACTTCTATAACCAGAATATGACATATTTTGACATGGAATGAAATTAAGTGAGATGTTGCAGGATTTTTCTAAAAAATTCAAAATTAATCAGTGCAGTTTTTGAGATCATCCACAATAAAATCCACACCTACATTCCCAAGGCTGATTTCCAATGACTCACCTGTACCTAAACGGATTACTATTTAAGATAACTGAAAGTAACTATATCATTGAGATTAAGATCACAGACTCTGAACAAAGAACAGAAAACCACGAAACTAAACAAAAACAAACAAAACAAACCAACAAAAAAGATCACAGACACTGAAAAGAACTGCTTAGGTTCAATCCCAATCCACTTCTTACAATCAGCTGAACAACTTGGGAAAGTATTTCATAAAATAAGCTCTGTTTAATTCACTCATAATAACACGACCTACTTCATCAATATTTATGGTCCACAGACGAATGCCTTAAAATCAAAGTGGTATTTGTAATACTCATTTCCAAATATTTTTCCTACCTACTTTCACATTTATTCAACAAATATTTCATTATTTTTCAGTAGTAACTTACTGAGTGAAGAAAACTTGATTAGCTCAAAGGACAGACAATGGAACAACAAAGTGTGTTCAAGAGCAGGTACCTGGGCTACGCTGGAAGAAGCAAAGAAGTCCCTCCCTCCTCCTCTTTGCAAATTCGGAGGCGGTGGGAAAAAAAAAAAAAAGATGCCGTGAGTTAGCACGATGGAATCTCTATCCCTTATGAACGACAGTAAACATTCCCATGCACAGGAGCCTGATGACTCAATCCTTCCTAAAAAAAAAAAAAAAAAAAAAAAAAAAAAAAAAAAATCAGTAAAAGTTCCGGAAGACCTCGGTCTCCTGAAGGATGCGACAGAAGGGCCATGGCATAAAGCCCTGACCTTTCTTCTCTCTTCACTGGAGCTTCCAGTAAAAAGGGCGCTTGTGAGAGAATCAGTTTATCAACAGAACCCAACCAGGTATCAGGTGCCACTACCGTTCTAAGGTTTGACCCGTATTATCTCGTTTAAGACTAATTACAACCCTACCCAGTAACTACCTTTATTACTACTTTACAGATAATGAAACACAAGCGCGGATAATAGGTAACCCGCTGTGTATTACACTTACAGAAGTAGCGGCGCAGCTCACCAAGCGCGGGATGAGAGCAAACTTCCGCCCTTGGCCTCTCGGCCTCCGCCCGCGGCCGCGACATCTCCATCCTAAGACTGATGGCTGGGGAGCGCCACGCGCAGGCTGGAAAGCTTCAAAAGGGCCCTGGGGCTGTAATGTTGACTCACCTCCCGGACCCAAAAGATGGTGGCGGCCTCGCTTTCCGGGGCGGAAGTGGCTCTGCCTGCCCGGAGCTCCTTAACTACCCTTCCCAGAAGCCTTGCGCTCCTGCGGCCCAACTGTTTCCGGAGAGAGTTCTGGAATACGTTTCCCAGAACTCCCAGGAGGTAGAACTTTGCAGGTGGCGCCCTCTTCGCGCTTAAAAAAGAAAAAAAGCGAGCGAGCGAGAGGGTTACCGAGAGTGTGACAAAACAATCTCCAAATTCTTGGCTCTCCTGGACTACAACATCCAGAATCCCCTTCATGGCTTCTTGCCGTTTTGCCCGGTTGAAGCAGTTCTCTGATGTCAGTGGAATTTAGGTTTTTCTCATTAACAACAACAACAACAAACCAGCAAATTTGTGAAGAATTGCAGCCCTAAAGGAAAAAAAAAAAGATTTTAAGAGACACCTACCACTTCCAAAAAAAAAAAAAAAAAAAAGGCAGAGGAAAGCCTTTTTTTACATTTAACAAGGTCAACTAATAGGAAAAATACTCTAGATATAAAAAGAACGAAAGAGCAACCAAAAAATGCAATGAAGGCAGAATATATTGTGGACTTCCACTTTTGTTAACAGCACAGTTATGTAATTCAGAACAACTTGCCTGCTGAGGATAGCTAGACAGAGAAAACAAGCTTTGGCATATCGTATGATCAACTCCTCAAAGCAACTAGGGCCACTGTAATTCCTCAAGGAGTTTCTGAATTTGAAAGATGAACAAGTTTATTACTTAAGTGGTTAAACCATGATTTTTATTTGCTTAAATGTATGATGTATGATGGAATTGATGTTTCAGAGAATTGAGGGTTGAAAGAGGAGAGCAATACCTAAAAATATCCACATATCCACTACAGTACGTTTGCAGTTCTCAGTTACTAAATATGTATTCTTTATTCTGTTATATACAACTGCCTGGTACAAAGCACCAAGTATGTGCCAGGAACTAGTCCAAACTCTTCAGACTCTGGGACCCTCACTACATTTTCACAACTTTTGTTGTTAAGAGTTGTAAGATGGAGTTTGGCTCTTCTGCCCAGGCTGCAGTGAAGTGGCACCATCTCGGCTCACTGCAACCTTTGTCCCCCGCCCCGGGTTCAAGTAATTCTCCTGCCTCAGTCTCCTGAGTAGTTGGGATTATAAGCACCACCACCACCACACCCAGCTAATTTTTTGTATTTTTAGTAGAGACAGTTTCACCATGTTGGCCAGGCTAGTCTTGAATTCCTGATCTCAGGTGATCCACTCGTCCTGGCCTCCCAAAAAGCTAGGATTACAGGCGTGAGCCACCGTGCCCAGATCATTTTCACAACTTTTTAAAGACAAATAATGTAATGTCCTCTAGTTTACCGTTTGGGATCTAGAGCCAGAGAGAGGTTAAGTATAAGATGGAAATTTGATTATTTTCACCTGCATATCTATCCAATGCCCTTAAGAGAAGGCTGAAATGCTTTAAGAAGTCACAGATACATCTTCCAGATAGTGTTTCTCTCTTCAAATCCACTTTCCACTCTACATGTCCAGTCATAATGGATTCCCTGTACTCCTACACAAAGCCTCTAATTCTTCGTATCTGCTGTCCCTTCTGTCATAAACTGCTACTCTTTTCACTCCTACGTGATAGTCTTCATCCATAGCTTAAATATTCTCTGCTCTAGTAAGACTTACTATGGGTTCTTGCCTTGTAGACAAATAAAAGTAGTGTGTAGGCCGGGCGCGGTGGCTCAAGCCTGTAATCCCAGCACTTTGGGAGGCCGAGGCAGGTGGATCACGAGGTCGAGAGATCAAGACCAACCTGGTCAACATGGTGAAACCCCGTCTCTACTAAAAATACAAAAAATTAGCTGGGCATGGTGGTGCGTGCCTATAATCCCAGCTACTCAGGAGGCTGAGGCAGGAGAATTGCCTGAACCCAGGAGGCGGAGGTTGCGGTGAGCCGAGATCGCGCCATTGCACTCCAGCCTGAGTAACAAGAGCGAAACTCCGTCTCCAAAAAAAAAAAAAAAAAAATAGTGTGTAGTAGCCAAGATTACAGACTTAGTATAAAGCTGCCTAGTAAAATACTAGTGCTTCCATTTATTCTGTCCCTTTTTTCTTCACTTGTTAAATGGAGACTATAATAGGGTTGATAGGAGGTACAAATGAATACACATAAAGCACTGGAAATTCTGCCTGATTCATGACCACCCTATAAAAAGTTATCAAATGTTAACCTCAGATGATAAACACAGGACACGATTTATGGATGGAAGGTTTCTTTTTCTTTTTTTTTTTTTTTTTTTTTTTTGAGATGGAGTCTTGCTCTGTCACCAGGCTGGAGTGCAGTGGTGCAATCTCGGCTCATTGCAAACTCCACTTCCTGGGTTCAAGTGATTCTTCCGCCTCAGCCTCCCGAATAGCTGGGACCACAGGTGCGTGCCACCACACTTGGCTAATTTTTATATTTTTAGTAGAGATGGGGTTTCACCGAGTAGGCCAGGATGGTCTTGATCTATTGACCTCATGATCCACCCACCTCGGCATCCCAAAGTGCCGGGATTATAGGCATGAGCCACCACGCACAGCTGGATAGAAGGTTTCTACAAAAATTTGCTTTGGACATTAAAGTATTATTAATAACCACACATCAGGCTGGGCGCGGTGGCTCAAGCCTGTAATCCCAGCACTTTGGGAGGCCGAGGCGGGTGGATCACGAGGTCAAGAGATCGAGACCATCCTGGTCAACATGGTGAAACCCCGTCTCTACTAAAAGTGCAAAAAATTAGCTGGGCATGGTGGCACGTGCCTGTAATCCCAGCTACTCAGGAGGCTGAGGCAGGAGAACTGCCTGACCCCAGGAGGCAGAGGTTGCGGTGAGCCGAGATCGCGCCATTGCACTCCAGCCTGGGTAACAAGGGCGAAACTCCGTCTCAAAAAAAATAAAAAAATAAAAATAAAAATAAAAACCACACATCAACTTTTGATTACTGTGAAAAAAAAGCTAGAAGAATATGCAAATGCATCCCACCAAAAGCAAGATAAAGGATCACTAATATTGACATTATTTCCTTTTATTTTTTCCTAAATCCACTTTGAGAATTCTGAATACAATCTAACCAAGCTGCAGGTTTCTGTTTCAGGATACTGGGCAGTTCCACAAACCACAAGCACTGAATCCCTGTCAGTCTTGTGCTGGATACTAAGCACATGGTAAAGAATGGGACGTATTCCCTGCAACAACGTAAGATGCAGCCTAAGGGAGAAACAGATCAGATCTAAAAGACTCTAAGTAAAAAATTCCAAATAAAGAAGCCACATTCATAACTATTCCTTTCCAAATCTCAGTGTTTCCCTCTCCCTTTGATTTCTCACATAACTACCTTCTTCCTAGTTGCCAAGAAAGAAAACACTGGTAACTTGCTTTCCTTTGCTCTTAATTCATAATTATTTTATGTTAACTACTTTTAATTTCTACTGACTTCTGCTAGGATTTGGTTTTGATTTTAGTCAGATTCCTCCTCTTCCCACCAAATACATATGTGGGAGAAGAGTAATAGATGCAATAAGATAGGCAAATGTTTACAAGAGTTAAAAACAAACAGACCCTCTACACTATTTCATTACACTATTTTCTCTATGTGTATGTTTGGGAATTTCTTTTTTTTTTTTTTTTTTTTTGAGATGTTGTTTCACTTTTGTTACCCAGGCTGGAGTGCAATGGTGCAATCTCGGCTCACCGCAACCTCCGCCTCCTGGGTTCAGGCAATTCTCCTGCCTCAGCCTCCTGAGTAGCTGGGATTACAGGCACGCACCACCATGCCCAGCTAATTTTTGTATTTTTGGTAGAGACGGGGTTTCACCATGTTGACCAGGATGGTCTCGACCTCTTGACCTCGTGATCCACCCGCCTCAGCCTCCCAAAGTGCTGGGATTACAGGCTTGAGCCACCGCGCCCGGCCATGTTTGGGAATTTCTATGAGAAAAATTAGAGAAATACCAGGCGTGGCATGGCACCAATGCATAAATGCATTAAAAATGTTAGCAGTGGTTATCTCTAAATGCTGAGATTATGGGTTATTTTAAGGAACGAGGTCTCATTGTCACCCAGGCTGTAGTGCAGTGCCACGGTTATAGTTCACCACCAACTTCAAACTCCTAAGCTCAACCAATCCTCCCACCTCAGCCTCCCAAGTAGCTGGGACTACTGGTATGCACCACCACATGCAGCTAATTGTTTAAATATTCAGCAGTTAATACTGGTAACTTTCATTTCCTTTTATATAATTCTGTATTTTCTAATCTCTCTATAATGGTCACGCATTACTTCTAATAAGGAGAATGTAGACTCTAAAGCCGCAAATCACCTTCCAAACATAATAGATAAAGATTTCCACAAACCATATACATGATTATTTCCTATGGCTGTAAGAAAAACTTACAGCATGGAGATTATGTAGACAGACTTGAGGCTCCAACTCCTTGGGTTCTAATGGCAGTTCTGCCTCTTACTAATTTTAAGTCTTAGGTCTTCCCTCTTCTTTTCCTGAGAGCATTTCCCTAAGAAACAGCGCTTCTGAATCCTTTCTCTAGCCTTTTGATATGCATATAAACCTCATTAGATGCTAATATAAACCTCTAGCCAGGCTTACAAGCTAGAAGTATGTTTGGAATTTCTGAGATTTGTCCCTTTTGAATGTAAACATCTGAGAAAATAATTGCACTGTCCCTCTGTAATTGTAAGAGTTTAACAAAGGTGCCTTTGAGCTGTAAATCGGCTAGAAGATGAGGTAAGAAAAGTTTTCTTATTACTTTGGATAAAGTTAAGTTAACTTAGACTGGATTCTTGAGTAAATTAGAATAAATTTATGAGGGCTGGGTGGGGTGGCTCACGCCTATAATCCCAGCACTTTGGGAGGCCGAGGCGGGTGGATCATGAGGTCAAGAGATCGAGACCATCCTGGTCAACATGGTGAAACCCCGTCTCTACTAAAAATACAAAAATTAGCTGGGCATGGTGGCGCGCGCCTGTAGTCCCAGCTACTCAGGAGGCTGAGGCAGGAGAATTGCTTGAACCCAGGAGGCAGAGGTTGCGGTGGGCCGAGATCGCGCCATTGCACTCCAGCCTGGGTAACAAGAGTGAAACTTCGTCTCAAAAAAAATAAAATAAAATAAATTTATGAAAGAATTTGCAGTAAATGATAAGACGAAGTCTTCTTATTGAAAGATGATTAATATTGAGAACTGATGTAAATAGTGGTCAAAAGTACAATTGAAGAGGAGGTGAGGAGGGAGACCCCTTCCTCTTAAGCTTCTAAGATCACTTCCCCTCAGCCTTCCACATCGCATTTCAAGAGGAAAAGTAAAAGTTGCAGAAGGCACAAGGCCAGTGAAGCAGACAAAACCGGTGCCACTAGCTGAACCTAGAGATTAAAGATCAAACCCTCACCCTAGTTCCTATACTATCCATAGATCACAGGCATGGTATGGAGGAATCTTCCCCAGAAGGCATTGTTCTTGCTTAGTCACGCTTAGACCCCCACCTGCCACATACCCCTTGCTTACCTCATCGATCACGATCCTCTCACACGTAGCCTCTAAGTCTTTCAAAGAGGCCAGGATTTTCCAGCCAGGGAGCTCAGTTCTTGAGATGTGAGTCTGCCGAGACTCCCAGCTGAATAAAAAGCCATTTCCTTCACAAACCTGGTGTCCAAGAGGTTTTGTCTGCGGCGTGTCCTGCTACAGAAAAACTAATACAAATAAAAATGCAGGAAAGAAAGGCAGAAATTAAAGTTTTCTTTTATAAGCAAACTTCCCTGACTCCTTCCCCCTCTTGTGGGATTGTATCCTGCTTTGTAAGTAGTTCATAAATTCCTGTATTCTTGTTCTCTATAGCTGATAACTTTAAGTTTCTGTAACACAATGAAGGTCATAAGAAATTCCCAATCAGGCAGGATTCCAGCCTTCTGCGCACTGTAGCAGAAGGCAATAGATAAGGCCTGTGCTAAAATCCTTGAGCTCTACAGATAGCAAACATCTGGGTCGAATAGCAACAGTCATATGTAAACCTAAGTTAGGTGCCTATCATTATGTAATGAATTGCCTTTGTTCTACACCTGCAAACTTGTTTTAGTGCCACTGTGTACTTCATGTATAAGAATTCAAACAGGCCAGGCGCGGTGGCTCACGCCTGTAATCCCAGAACTTTGGGAGGCCGAGACAGGTGGATCACGAGGTCAATAGTTCAAGACCAACCTGGCCAAGATGGTGAAACCCTGTCTCTAATAAAAATGCAAAAAACTTAGCTGGGCATGGTGGCGGGAGCCTGTAATCTCAGTTACTCGGTAGGCTGAGGCAAAGAACTGCTTGAACCTGGGAGGCAGAGGTTGCAGTTAGCCGAGATTGCACCACTGCCCTCCAGCCGTGGGGACAGAGTGAGACTACGTCGCAAAAAAAAAAAAAAAAAAAGGTCAAGCCCTGCCTTTGTTAAGGGCTCAGCCATTTTGTTCCCGGTCAGGGAATCAGCTGGGCCGTGTACACCTGAAATAAACTCTTTCCGTAACCTCAAGGGTCTCTCCAGTATCTGAAATCCCACGAGAATGGTATAAAGAGTTTAAAATTGCTTGACTGTATACATGGGGTGGAATTTCTTAATATTTTTCTTCAGATTATCTACAATACTGAACAGTGGTTGTCCTTATTCAGCAATAAGACAGCTTTCTTTTCTACGTTGTACAGAGAGGACTATTACCTTCGTTTCTTTCTCTGTTAAAATAGAACATAATGGTACCTACCGCATATGGCTATTCTGGTCATTTAATGAATAATTCGCATAAAAGTATGAGAGACTCCTACTGACTCTCCACTTCAGAAATGACGAGAATGGGACAGAGAAAGATTAATTCTCAAAACGTTATAACACTAGTGAGTGGCAGAGCTGGCAAGCAGGTGGGAGAGGCTGGCTGCAGAACGCCAGGAGATCCTCTAACCAGGCGACCAGCGACTCAGGACACTCCCAACCCCGGGACGCACGAACCGCTTCAAACCGGAGGCTCAGCCGAGAGGAAAGAACACAAACTGCTCCCAACTCCATCCTCTCAACTGGCAACAGCTTCTCGGGTCCTCCTCCAGACGAGGGCCAGGGTCCCGCTTGCTCCCCGACAAGGCTGAGAACAGCTGGAGCGTCCCTGTGGATCCAAACACTAGCTCCTCGAGCCCTCCAGCGAAAAGAACCTTCCAGCGACTAATCAGAAATCACGGACCACTTCCCACAATTCCCTAGCACGGCGTTCCAAAAGCGGAAGTGCCCCAGGCTATGCGGATCCCTGACTACACTTCCCAGAATGCCGGAGAACGGGGGCGGGGGAACGACCATAGTTCCGCCCCTTGGAGCGGGTATACTTCCGAGTAACTCAGCTTCCGGGTATCCTAGAAAGCTAGAGGGAATCTTAGACAAGTTTTGCAATTTTAGAGTGTTAGTGCTTGTCTTAGTGGTAACTACCGATTCTGTTATTCAGGGGCCTCCAGGAAGAAGTTGTTATTCAGGGTGCGGGAAGAGAAGGGTACCTAGTAAAACCCGAAGAGCTGCACTACAGGAGTAAAGATAAAAGGCAAATAGATCGTCTTCGGGAGGAGTCTGAAGCCAAACTTGAAACCACATTCTTTTTTTTTTTTTTTTTTGAGACGGAGTTTCGCTCTTGTTACCCAGGCTGGAGTGCAATGGCGCAATCTCGGCTCACCGCAACCTCCTCCTCCTGGGCTCAGGCAATTCTCCTGCCTCAGCTTCCTGAGTAGCTGGGATTACAGGCACATGGCACCATGCCCAGCTAATTTTTTGCACTTTTAGTAGAGACGGGGTTTCACCATGTTGACCAGGATGGTCTCGATCTCTCGACCTCGTGATCCACCCGCCTCGGCCTCCCAAAGTGCTGGGATTACAGGCTTGAGCCACCGCGCCCGGCAAAACCACATTCTTACCTGAAAATAGTAAACCTCTTCTCTTAGTGTTTGCAGGTACCTGACAAAAACAAATAAAAATATTCTACTCGAGAAAGAGACTGTCATCCTAGGCCTCATATTCTTTCTCTAATTTTAAAATAATATTGGACAATGTGCAATAGTCCTTGAAGAAAGTAACACTTTAAGATATACAAAGAAAGGCTGGGGCAGTGGCTCAAGCCTGTAATCCCAGACCTTTGGAAGCCAAGGCGGGCAGATCACGAAGTCAAGAGTTCAAAACCAGCCTGGCCAGCATGGTGAAACCCCTGTTTCTACTAAATACAAAAATTAGCCGGGCATGGTGGTAGGCACCTGTAATCCCAGCTACTTGGGAGGCTGAGGCAGGATAATCGCTTGAACCTGGGAGGCAGAGTTTGCAGGGAGCCGAGACCATGCCATTGCACTCCAGCCTGGGAGACAGAGCAAAACTCCGTCTCAAATAAAAAATAAATGAGTAAAATAAAAAGATATACAAAGAAACACTTCATAATAATGAAAATTTTCTATCAACAATAATAGCCTTACATAATATAAAGCAAATTTATAAAGAAGAATTCATTGATGGACTCATAAGAAAAAACCGATAAACAGGGGAGCTTTTAATACATAATTAGAAGGAAACAGAAAGCCTTAGAGTCATATACAGAAGGTCCTAGGGTTAACAATGTTTCACTTAGGATTTTTCGACTTCAGGATGGTGCCAAAGTAATACACATTCAGTACAGTACCCATACAACCCTTCTGTTTTTCCTTTTCTTTTTTTTTTTTTTTTGAGACGGAGTTTCGCTCTTGTTGCCCAGGCTGGAGTGCAATGGTGCGATCTTGGCTCACCGCAACCTCCACCTCCTGAGTTCAGGCAATTCTCCTGCCTCAGCCTCCTGAGTAGCTGGGATTACAGGCACGCCCCACCATGCCCAGCTAATATTTTGCATTTTTAGTAGAGACGGGGTTTCACCATGTTGACCAGGATGGTCTCGATATCTTGACCTCGTGATCCACCTGCCTCAGCCTCCCAAAGTGCTGGGATTACAGGCTTGAGCCACCGCGCCCGGCCTTTGTTTTTCCTTTTCAACACCTATTCAATAAATTATATGAGAAATTCAACACTTTATTATGAAATAGGCTTCTTTTTGTCAGATAACTTTGCCCTTGGATCACCTGAGGTCAGGAGTCTGAGATCAGCCTGGCCAACATGGTGAAACTCTGTCTCTACTAAAAATACAAAAATTAGCTGGGCATGTTGGCAGGCACCTGTAGTCCCAGCTACCCTGGAGGCTGAGGCAGGAGAATTGCCTGAACCTGCAAGGCAGCAGTTGCAGTGAGCCAAGATCGCGCCATTGGACTCCAGCCTCGGCGACAGAGTGAGACTCCCTTTCAAAAAAAAAAAAAAAAAAACCGGGGCCGGGCGCGGTGGCTCAAGCCTGTAATCCCAACACTTTAGGAGGCCAAGGCGGGTGGATCACTAGGTCAAGAGATCGAGATCACCCTGGTCAACATGGTGAAACCCTGTCTCTACTAAAAATACAAAAATTAGCTGAGCATGGTGGCACAGCCTGTAGTCCCAGCTACTCGGAGGCTGAGGCAGGAGAATTGCTTGAACCCAGGAGGAGGAGATTGCGGTGAGCCGAGATCGCGCCATTGCACTCCAGCCTGGGTAATAAGAGCATAACTCCGACTCAAAAAAAAAAAAAAAAAAAACCTTTCCCAGCTGGGGGCTAATGTAAATATGGTGAGCACCTTTAAGGTAGGCTAGCCTAAGCTGTGATGTTTGGTAGATTGGGTGTATTAAATGCATTTTTGACTTAGGGCACTTTCAGCTTACAGTGATTAAGCTCCTCAGAATGTAAGTTCATCGTAAGCTGAAGAGCATCTGTCCTAAAACACGAGGTAAGCTGAACAAAAAAATTAAAATAAAAACATTCATCTCAGGAATTTAATAAACCAATACCAAACCACAGTGGGTAGATGGAAAGAAAAGATAAAGATAAGAGGAAATTCGTGAAATAGAAAACAAAATCAAATGGATCTTAAAAAGCAAAAAAATCATTCTATAAATACAACAATAAAATTGACAAAGTTCAGGGACAGTAAACAAAAAAGACAGAAATTACATATTACCAATTTCAGAAGTAAAAGGGAACATCACCAAAGATATTATGAAAACATTATGAGGAACATTATAATGATACATTTCAGAAATGTAAATTCCCACTTTAAAATAAACATAGACAACAATTAACAAAATGTTAAGTTTCACGTCCTCGCCCAGCCCCATATTTTGTTTGTTGTGTTCCTCTTTGTGTGTGTTTTGTGCAAAATGCATGTGATGTGGTTGTGTGTGCACATTTTTGGTTTATGTCAACGGTGTTAGGTCATAAAACTAAATTTTATTTTTTTGAGACGGAGTCTTGCTCTGTCACCAGGCTGGAGTGCAGTGGTGCAATGTCGGCTCACTGCAATCTCCATCTCCTGGGTTCAAGCAATTCTCCTGCCTCAGCCTCCCAAGTTGCTGGGACCACAGGCGCATGCCACCACGCCCGGCTAATTTTTTTTGTATTTTTAGTAGAGATGGGGTTTCAGCATGTTGGCCAGGATGGTCTCGATCTCTTGGCCCCGTGATCCACCCACCTCAGCCCCCAAAGGGCTGGGATTACAGGTGTAAGCCACCACACCCTGCCAGAACTAAATTTTTAAGACTTTTAAAACTCAGCAGTATGTTCATCCATGTTTCTAGCATACACTAACCTATTTTATAGAACTAATTGTCTACACCCAAAATATTTTATCTGTTTATTATTCCATGACAGACACCTAGATTGCCATTGGCAATAACAATGCTAGGAACATCACTATACATCATCATAGAAATGTATGAAAATTTATTTAGGACACATATTGGTAAGTGTAGTTGCTGGTTCATAGCAGAGTCATATATTTACACATTTACAAATAATATTGATAGCTATATTGCTCTCCTGAAAGGTTGAACCATTCCATATTCTCAAGAGCATGGAATAGTCTGTTGTGTAACCACTCATTTCTTTTTTTTCTTTTTTTTTTTTTTTTTTGAGACGGAGTTTCACTCTTGTTACCCAGGCTGGAGTGCAATGGCACGCTCTCGGCTCACCGCAACCTCCTCCTCCTGGGTTCAAGCAATTCTCCTGCCTCAGCCTCCCAAGTAGCTGGGATTACAGGCACGTGCCACCATGCCCAGCTATTTTTTTGTATTTTTAGTAGAGACGGGGTTTCACCATGTTGACCAGGATGGTCTCGATCTCTTGACCTCGTGATCCACCCACCTCGGCCTCCCAAAGTGCTGGGATTACAGGCTTGAGCCACCGCGCCCGGCCACCACTCATTTCTATACCATCATTTGCCATGATCAGTCATCCCAAGTCTTGCCATTCCGTTAAACACATACTGATTATTTCACTGTCATAATTAAATTTCTCTGATTTCTAATAGGTTTGAGCATTTCTTCAAAATGCTTGATAGCCTCTTCTGTAAATTATGCCATTTTCTTCTTTTACAGGTGCTATATTTTCCTTGTTCACTTGGATTATATACAACGAATATTAATACCTTATGAATTTGAGACATAGAAATACCTTCTACTTGATACTTTCGTATGTGGTGTAAAGTCGGGGGTCCAACTTCACTCTTTTTCATGTGCACATCCACTTTTCTTAGCACCATTCATCATTTGTTGAACAGACCGTTCATTTTCCATTGAATTGTCTTGGCACCTGTCCTTGATTTTAATATTCATATACTGTGTCTCACATTGAATAAACATCCTTAAATTGAATTCGGCATAAGCAAAGTTTTTAGGGTGATGTGCTAACGCAGGTCCTCTTAAAAAAAAAAATGCAAATTCAGAATTACTTGTTTATTAAGGGAAATGACTGTGAGAGAAAACTGGAGAGGAGCTGGAAGAACTAATTGCCAGACCACAATGTAAATCTAACACTGCGTAAAGAACAAAAGGAAGCCTTGGCAACAAAGTGAGACTCTATCTCAAAAAAATTACAAAACTAACTGGGTGTGGTGGCATGTGCCTGTAGGCCCTGCTGGATTTAAAGACAAATCCATTAAAGTCAGGTATTCACAATCTTATCTACCCCACAGAGAAGATCCATGTCTCCCTGAATGGGTCTACGTTAGAATCCTTACTGCTCTCAGGCATTGACTGGGAGCAGCATCCCTCAGAAAATCTGGCCTTGATGCAAACACAGGATTGCCCTTAAAACACAACAATAGGGGTCTTCGGTTACTTGCATCAAAATATTTGT